CTTCGACACATGGCACAGTGGATAAAGGCGTTGGTTAGATCCAGTGACAGGACCTAAACAGTGTGAGTTCAATACCTGGCTAAGGCAGTGGAGAACTTTCAGAGGGAAATTAACAGGAGGTAACTGATAACTGACATCCATTAAACATGGCATGTGGAACTAGAACAGTGAGCGAAATTACAACCATCTGAAGAAGGCGTACAACGGCCGAAACATTGTAATAAATATGTTGACAAAGATGAGGACAATAGTACGAATAATGTAAATAATGTACATAATACTTCATCTCAGAAATATAGACAGTTACAAAAGCTCATCTGTGTTAACTTTCCTATTACGGACACGCTTGTCCATTATCAACCAATGGTTTTAAAATGGGTTATGGTCAGCACTCTTAAGCACTCTCCCTTTTATATTTCAAAATTGCGATGTGAACACTGGTAAAAAAAAATATGCTGAAGGCATTAGGTTTATAATACCCAGAAATTCAGACGCACCTGTCCTCAAGGACACATGGTACAGTGGATAAAGGCGTCAGTTAGATCCAGTGACAAATAGTTCCGTAGCAATACTCTGGCTTGTTGGCATGAGCTTGCATTGTTATCTCCAATTTCGATTCGGGCCAGTGACAAGACCCAAAGAGTGTGAGTTCAATACCCTGTTAAGGCAGTGGAGAACTTTCAGAGAGGAATTAACAGGAGATAACTGAGAACTGACATCCATTAAACGTGGAACTAGAACAGTCTACCCCACTGAATAAAGAGTTCAGTTCGACATTCCAACCACCTGAAGAAGGCCGGAGCGTACAACGGCCGAAACGTTGTAATAAATATGGCGACAATAGTCCGAATAATGTAAATCGTGTACATAAGACTTCATCTCAGAAATATAGACAGGTAGTGATAAGATATATTATCAACATTTGCTTTTTTTCTAGCCATATGTATATATGTTACAAATTAAACTGAGCATAACTGAATATTAAAAGAATGAAAAATTTTCGCGGATTTTGAGGTCATTCTGTGAGGGTTTTTTTTTGGGGGGGGGGTTATTTATTTATTTATTTATTTTTATTTTTTGTCCAAATCCGTTATTTTGTTCATGATATCTCTCGAGGAAACAATATAAAAGATTCACTATTTTTTAATCCATAATGTTTAATGTCATAAATTATCCAACTTTTACCAAGAAAATTCTTAAGTTGATGTTAAATCTTGCCGCAAAACATTGTTGATTTATTTAAGATGGAATGATCTATAATGACATGTCTTTAATTTGTATTTAGATACATTGTTTTCATCTAAATTTTTTCTACTTGAATTGTTCACCTATATTACATATGATCCATAATTGTACATAATTAGGTTACAATAAAATTTGTATTTTACATACTGCATTATGAAAACTGAGATTAGTAAAGTAGTTGCTCTGTATGATAAATTTGTGGGGCACGAAACCCTTGCCCCGGGCCTACGATAAGGACCTGATGAAGAGATAAAAAGCAATAATTTCAAAGAGCTTAACACGCCACATAATATTTACAAAGGCAAACAAAAATATACCTGAGACATTCAACTATTCGGTTGTTCTCTTAAAATATCAATAATAAGAGTTAATAAAAATGTTAAATTTAATTTTCGTTGTTTTCAGTGAGACTGACAATAACAGGTAAAAAAGAAATATATATATCATTGACACATTGAAAACTCATTACAAACTATAAAAATAATATATGCGTATTTCAAATCTTTACCCAAATAGTTCCGTAGCAATACGCTGGCTTGTTGACATGAGCTTGCATTGTTATCTCCAATTTCGAGTCGGGTCAGGGTTCAATTAATTTATTGCATTTAGTGTGCTGAAATACAAACGAAAAAGTTATATTGGCTTTTATATAATAACTAACCGAATTACCAGCAGCTTGCTACGTGTCACACTTCTTTTCTTATTTTCGTTTTTTTTTTCTTGTAAGAAAATGCTTGATTTTAAATCATTGTTATAATTTGTGGAGAAAAAATGATGCATTTCAATATTACTCAACGACCTTGACGATGTGACCTCTATCTTCTGGATTTCTCCTTCTATATTTTTGATAGGAGTCATTCTCTTGTTTAAATTTAAATTTAATTGAAATCAAAAGGAAAAAATGAGTTGGTGGTTTGTGCAAAAACAGCTTGATCTAACCCCTTTGATATATATTTGGTGCAACACTTGAATGAATTGATGAGCAGATTTCAACATTGATATAACAGTTGAATTGTCGCAACAAATATGTATTGTAAAGCACAACCCATTGATTGGTGATTTCTTACTCAATATGAAGTCTATATTGTATTATTTTGATCTTGTGACCTCCATCTTCTGGCTTTCTCCTTCTATATTTTGGATAGGAGTCATTCCCTTTTACAAATTTAAATATAATTTAAATCAAAGGGAAAACAATTTTCCTTGGCAGGATGGGGTTGTGTTCCCCCACCCCGGGGTTCTCTATTGATCAATATGGTCTTGTCGATGTGACCTCCATCTTCTGGCTTTCTCCTCCCATATTTTGTATAAGAGTCATTCCCTTTTTCAAATTTAAATTTAATTTAAATCAAAGAGGAAAAATATTCATTTGGAGGATTTGTGAAATATCAAAATGAAATGTACTTATCCAAGTACCCTGGGTAACGTAGTTTCAGAATATATATGGTTATGGGGATCTATCTCCAAAACCCTAAAAGGAGTTCGATAAAAATCAAACAGACAGATGCTACAATTATATATATATATATATATATATATATATATATATATATATATATATATATATTGGGAGGGAGAGATTTTAATAGTTGTCTTCATTTCTGGTTACTTTTCACGCATTTTGCTTGTTTAGTTACGGTGGTTGCCTGATGAGTAAAGTCTCCAATTACTTACACTAGAGAATAGGAAAACACTTATGAATATGATATAAATTTATTTTTCTTCAAAATTAACAGATTTTTTTTCAATATTTACTACTTACATTTTTACAAACACCCCTCCACACACACACACACACACACACACACACACACACACACAATTTGTTTGTTCTAGCGATAACGAAAAATTCTGGTTTACTTTTGGCCCAAATGCTCACAACAATTTCAAGTTAGATATATAAAGTCACAATCCGTCCAACCTTCCGAAAATCTGACTAAATTTTATTCTTTAATAATGTTGTCTTCATTTTTACTTATTTTTAGCACATTTCAGCCGATATAATCTTGAGCCTTCTTTTGATGTATGTTACAGCTGATTTTTAGAAACCGATTAGTATTTCTTTCTTTGTAATCCTCGTTTGTCATCTCTCTAACCCGAACACAAGAGACCAGCAAAAATACGGTGCTGAGTTTTCACATTTTGCCAGTATATTTACTAAATAGGAAAGTATAAAAACGGAAGGTAGCTGTAGTATACTAATATTGAATATAAAGAGCTATCTTACTATTCGGATTATTTTGTATTGTGGGAACATTCTTATTATTATAAATGAAAATAAAATATAAAATAATAATAATAATAATAATAATGAAATTATAAATAAAATAAAACAAAATTTAAACCTAGTTTAAAATAAATTAAAAAAAAAATTAAAAAATGAAAATAATAAAATTACTCCCATCATGCAACAGGAACTTTTACTACCAGAAGTATAGACATCCCGCCAAGAGATATGTGATTCAAACTCTTCGCCCAAGAACTATCGGGATGACAACACGTGTGTAAATTCCATATGTGATTGGACGTGATATTACGGACTGACTTACTGCCTTTTATAACATGAACATTATCACAATTGTAATATAAAACACACACAACTGCATACATAAAATTGTGTGAAATTACCATACAGTTTAACATGTCTTTTTATTGTTATTATGTACGTTTCGTTGTTCTGTTTTTCCTCGTGAACACAAGCCCAATTTTTATGACCACATGGTGTGAGTGAATATCCCCCATAGTATAGAAGACGGTCAAAAGCTCACTTTCTTTGGCTGTTGGTTTTGCTATAAAAGCAAATAGATATGTAAATTTTACTGAATTCTCCCACTGGAATGTTCTAGCTAGAAACAAACTGGAAAATGACGTATAGCTTATGTTACCGTCTTGTTGTTCGAAAACAAAATAAAATTAATTTACAAAGATAAGAATTTATTTTAATATTTTTTAATTATATTTAGCTCTTTCGAAAAATTATGGTGCGTTAAAAACGAAAACTGAATTTAATATTTAATTTTTATTGCATATTAGCAAGACGTTTGTCTCTTTAAAGTTTAAAATCTATCATCGCTTTGACTTTTTCAACAAATAATTTCATTTGGAAAATTATTTTTGAAAGAATAAAAATAAATCTAACATGCAATGACGAGAAAGTAGGATTGTTCCTTTTGTATCCTGTAGTTTGTGTACTTAAATTGCAAGTTGCTCAGAATTGAATAAGGGTATGGACAATCTTGAAAAGTATAGACGGAAGATTACGGCAGTAATGGTTAATGGAATCAAAATCTATCTATTTATTACAGTCTGTTTTCATCTATCTATCTATCTATCTATCGATCGATCGATCACGGTCTGTTTCCATCGATCACAGTGTGTTTCCATCTATCTATCTATCTATCTATCTATCTATCTATCTATCTATCTATCTATCTATCTATCCTTCCTTTCTCCTTACTTGCATATCTATCTAAATAAATAATTAATCCCATGAGTTAACCGTTACGTTTTTTTTAAATAGTTTCGGACTGTTGCTCAACCGACACCACGGAAATATCTATCGCTTGAATGTATCAGAAATGTTATGTTTTATATCTTCCCATTCTTAATTTCTTTCTTTCAAGCCATTCATTCTTGTTCATTTCAGGCATTAAACTTATATTTAATATGCATATAATAGTCATCTTCTGTCAATGATTGCATAAATAAATATATATGAAGAGATTAATGGCAACGTCGAGAAACCCTGCTAGTAACTATATATATATATATATATATATATATATATATATATAGATAGATAGATAGATAGATAGATACGAACATGAGACATCGAGAGAGGGACATAGATAGATAGCGAGAGATGAACAGAATGGGACAGAGAAACAGACATAGATAGAGAGAGAGAGAGAGAGAGAGAGAGAGAGAGAGATGAATAGACTGAGACATAGATAGATAGATAGATAGATAGATAGATAGATAGATAGATAGATAGATACGAGCATATTGAGACAGAGAGAGAGGGACATAGATAGATAGATAGATAGATAGATAGATAGCGAGAGATGAACAGATTGGGATAGAGAAACAGACATAGATAGAGAGAGAGATGAATAGACTGAGACATAGATAGATAGATAGATAGATAGATAGATAGATAGATAGATAGATAGATAGATAGATAGATATTTTATACTTACATCCCTGATATTGAGCACTTTAACCCATAAATATTAGTCAGTCAGTTATGTGCCATGCCTGATACCTCGTCAGTCATGTATCAAAAGATACATGAGTGATGAAGCAAATTTCTTCCTGCAGTAGGTTGCCATTTCTTTCTGCGGTAGACTAGTTGCCATCCAAGGCTAGAGAACCCGGCCTGCGCTGCTATTTACCCATAGCTGGGAGGGGGGGGAGAAGAAGAGGATTCATACTTTTCCCAGGGGTATTAGCACGTAATTGAATGTAATGGATTCGACTGGAATTCGAACTCAGCTCAATCTGAGCCGCTATTCATTAGTCCACCGTGCCATAAGTATAGCATACCTTAAAACCAAGTTTTGATCATTATTTTTATCATTTAAATGTGGACACTGAGGTCAACACCGAGAGGATCCAGTCTGTTTCTTGTTTATATTTTTTCTTAAGAATTAATGCATTTATTTTTAATTCAAAGAAATCCTAATAAAACTCTGCCGGAGAGAAAAAATTATTTATTAGGCTTTCTCGAATGCTTAGGGTGACAAGCCGTAATGCTCACTGCTTAAAATAAAAATGTAAATAGGGCGTTTATTTCAAATACAAGTATCCACTAATAATAACCATTGAATATAATATATATATATATATATATATATATATATATATATATATATTTTTTGGTGTGCGACTTAAGTTTCGATGGTTTTCCAGCTCATCGGGCACAAAGTATACCTTACGTTTTTATAAAAATACACAAATGCCATGTGAGGGGAACGCTACTTCATAGACCAAAAATAAAATAGTACAAATGGCGCAGGAAATGAGACAGTTTGATCGTTTGATTTATATAACTCTCTAACTCTAACATCAATCAGCTAAGTGACAAAACTTTTACATGGGATTTCGGGAGCCGTTCTAAAATTTCTCAAGCCCCCAATGCTTGAACTCACAACTCTTTATCCGCTGTGCCATGTGTCATTAAGGATAAAGGCGTAGTTTAGATCTAGTGACAGGACCCAAAAGAGTTGTGAGTTCAATACCTGGTTAAGGCAGTGGAGAACTTCGAGAGGGAAATAACAGGAGATAACTGAGAACTAACATCCATTAGACATGGCACGTAAAACTAGAGAAGTATACCCCAGCAAGCGAAATAAAGGGTTCAGTTCGACATTCCAAACACCTGAAGAAGACCGGGGCGTACAACGGCCGAAAAGTTGTCATAAACATGGCAACAAAGATGAGGACAATCAGTCCGAATAATGTAAATAGTGTACATAATACCTCATCTCAGAATTATATATATATATATATATATATATATATATATATATATATATATATATTGTTGTTGTTGAGTTTTTTGTTTTTTTATTATTTAATACTTTTTAATATGTCTTGTAATATTAAATTTTATACTTTTATTTCGATCATTAAATTTTGTACCTACAAAAATATCTTTAAATATATATATATATATATATATATATATATATATATATGAAGAAATATAGTCTTAAGATGTGCTACATTTATGGGATAAAGTGCTCAATATCAGAGATAGAGCGTGTGTAAATATAAAAGTGAACATAGAAGTCAGCACTTAGAGGCAACAGTGTGAAACAGACTGTCGCCCCTAAATGTTGTTCACTTTTTATATATATATATATATATATATATATATATATATATATATATATATATATATATATATATATATATATATATATATATATATATATATATATATATATATATATATATATATATATATAATTGTGTGTTTGGGCAACAATCCTCTTTTTTACAAGTTTTATTAAAAGCAACTGACAAGATATTGCGGTTAAGCTTTTTATTTAATTTTTTACGTTCTTATAATTTTCTTCTTTTCTCGACGTAAATTATGTAGAAATTGTCCAAATGTTTTGTATGGCCGAGCGCTTTCGGCTATACATTTAGCTATTATCAAGGATGATTTTATTTTTACTTTTAATTGAATGTATGGACTGCTATATATATATATATATATATATATATATATATATATATATATATATATATATATATATGTGTGTGTGTGAGAGAGAGAGAGAGAGAGAGAGAGAGAGAGGCTAAGGGTGAATTTGAAATCGAGGCATTCAGTTCATGATGATCGATAACGGTTACGAAAGAAATATGAAAAATTCTAAAATCAACAAATAATGATCAATTTTTTAAATTTATTTATTTATAAATTAATTCAAGCAAAGGAAGCTGACTGCACAGCTTTTTATTTATTTTATTTTATATTATTATTATTTTTTTTTTTTTATTTTATATTTTTTTCACTTTTCCCGCTCACTCGGCCTTCACCCACCAACTTCGTTTCACCCGGTTCTCTTACGTACTGTGTACCTGCGCATACAACTGGCGCTGGATTGGTATGCAGAAGAATGGATCTTCTCTGCTTACACGACTCTACTAATGTCTCCTTGTTCACGATTTATCCTAAGAAATGAAGCAATATGAGAATGACTACAAGTGCAAAAAAGATAATAAAAATAATTAAATTTTATTACACAAAAAAACTAAGGCATGAGGTGTGTGCGTTAAACATATGTGCCCTTCGCCATTGATGTGTACGTTTGTGCGTGCGTGTGTATGACAGGTTCATTATGAATTATAAACATTATTATACGCTCTGAAGATATTTCAAATAAACAATGAATCATTGCTATCTCTCTATATAAAACAGGGGATGCCTGTCTGTCTGTGTGATATGTTTTCACTCGAGATCCATCCAACCGATTTTGATCAAACTTGGCACATACATTGTACAATGTAAGAGCTAGGTCCTTACCGTAAAAAAATTGATAATTTTTTTTTAAATCAATAATCGATAATGCCGATCAAAAATCCATGAATTCAACTTTTTTTTTCCGATTTCATACTCGGTATGTATGTTACTTACATCAAGTAACTGAAAAAGATAGGTTCTGTTACATCTAAACATGATGCTGTTTTTGCTCCATTCTAATTGAACTGAGCTGGGTATGGCTGCTAGTAATTTTTTAAAGATACACTTCGATTTCTCCGTCTGAGATGTTTAATGACACGTAAGAAATTATAAACTAACAAATTTTCTATGAAGATGTTATTCAATTTAATATTTTTTGCATTTTATTGCCATGGATTTGAATCCTATTTGCAGATCGTTAATAATATTTTAATTATTTTAAGAGGGTCGTAAAAAGAACCACTCCTATATTTGTCATGCAGGGGTTATTGCTTCAAAGCTGCTTTCCTCTTACTAAGATGAAATTCTGTTTTTTGTTTATTATTTTTTTATAGATCAACTTTAGTGAGGATTCAGTTCAGTAACTGTATTGCTATGGTTAGTGCAACGGTTCATTGTACGGAAAGTGGATTCAGCGACCCGAGTTCAAACTCCGGCTTAGTTTGTACCGTCCACTTTCGCACTAATATGCCAAGAAAAGGCAAGAACCTTCATCTGCTGCTGGTAGACTGGAGGCTTGGATGAATAATGAATTACAATGAATTTAAAACTATAGAGAACACATCTGGGAACTATTTCCTAATAATGGAGAAAAAGAGTCTGTGGATAGTTTTGATCACCTACGTTCTAAAGGGACGATATTAAAAACGTTGTTAACACTTTCGGCACACACGTATTTTTTTTTTTTTGCTGCTGATGCGTGTAGGCCAAGAATATAACAATGGAGATTATCCAGACATTAAATAGTATCGCTAGAAAGAAAGTGCCAGGGAGAAAATGAAGACAAGTCGTGAATGACAACATGGGGGACGTTAGACAATAAATGTCTTTTGATGTTGATCAGATAAATCAATAAAAACGTTGCTAAACGTCCTCTGGTGCTGAGCATGTTGGCTCATTTATATAAAATCCATGTGATAAATATGTTTTTAAAGGCATTCTTTATCTGATAGAATCATTTCTTAACTATGGACAGGTACATAGTCTTTCTTGATTTGATATGCAGCATACAACGGAGAGTCAGGCACCTCGGCGTGGTGCAATGGTTAGCAAGCTTGCTTTGCTAGATCTATTATGACTGAATAGTGAGTTCGATCCTCACTGGGTACTCCATACTTTCGGCCTTGTGTCACATCTAAGCTATACTTAGAAATTTATTTTGGGCACTTCGGCGTGTTAGGAAGCTCGTCTTGCTCGATCAGTTACGACTAAGTAGTGAGTTCGATCCTCACTAGGTGCCCCATACTTTCGGTCTTTTGCCACATGAAAGCTACGCTAAGAAAATCATTTTGGGCACCTCGAGGTGGTGTAATTTTTAGCGATCTTGTCTCGCTAGAACAATTACGACTGAGTAGTGAGTTCGATCCTCACTGGGTTCCCCCCCCTATTTTCGGCCTTGTGTCACATCCAAGCTACGCTTGGAAAATCACCACAACGGTGAGCTTGACATAACGCTACATTTCTATTCCATATGAAGAGGAATTCTATACTTGGGAAATGGCGAAAATTCTTTGAATGGTAAAATCGCACAAAACATCATAATTCGTCATACATTGCAACCTATTTCACATAGATACAAGTAGATGTTTATATTTACTACTTTAATGAAAAAGATCCGTACAACGTAATTTCGGGAAATTTTAGAAGCGTCTTTAAAGTTTTCTCTTACTCTTTAACGCTTGTGAAATAAGTCAACTATAGCAACCAAAAAAGTAGGTGTCCATCTGTTTCGGGAGACTACGATTATTACTGGGGGTGGGGGACAAATCAATCCCTATTGGAGATAACTGCTCAGGCTTATTTGGTTGCTACTATGGTATGATATCTACCAAGGCATTTGCGACTTATTGTAAATGACAATATACTTATTGCTAGAAAATTTTCAGGAAAAACGATGACCTGTTTTTTTTTTTGTTTTTTGGGGGGTTTTTTGGGTTTTTTTAAGACATCAAATCAATTTACAAACATTGAAATCACTATTTGAAGATTTTTTGCGTTAAAATTGTTAATGATTTTTAATAGTTCACTACCTTTAACCCTAACCCTACCTACTAACCCGAACATATTTCATACTTCCAAAAGTTGGTAAATATCATGTGATAGTAGAAAATGAATAGTAGATATCATACTATAGTAGAAAATGGACGGTAGATATCTGTAGTAGAACCCTTATTTGTACTACTTCAACCGACAGAGAAAGCCTCTATTTTATAATACAACTATGAAGAGCGGACTTTAGTTCCAGTTTCTAGGAGAGGGCACCTAATCTGGTGTGATCCGCAATTGAACAAGGCCAGTACGCACAAAGACTCGATCACGATTACTTGTGATTTTGTGCAAGCACAACCATCAACGACTTCTGAATCGCTTCGTCTACCCAGATTCATTTACAAAGCTTGGGGGGGGGGAATCCGTGGTATGGGTTTTCCGGCCCTTGCTAACAGCGTCGCACACACCGACCGTCTCCCAAGGTTGATATTATCAATAATCCACTTCCTCGAGAAATCCACCATGTTAAGATTTGAAACTGGTTGAAATGTTAATGTTCTATTCATACGACAATAAAAATTTGTTACAAAGGCGAACATCAGTCAATGCTTTTTTTTTTCTTTTCGTTTCTTACAGAAGATACAAGATAATTGCTAGACCTGATAGTCACTACTTATGAATTATTGAAACGAAGAAAATACACGAGGCAATGGAGATATAGTTCTACAGAAGGGTGCTAAGGATATCATGGACCGAGCAAGGGAGCAACGATGAGGTTTTGGAAAGGATGCAAACAAGGAGGAAGCTTATGTTTAACATCAGGAAGAGGCAGATGAAATTTCTGGGAGACATAATGAGAAATAAGGGCCTGGAGAATCTGATACTCACAGGTCGAATAGAGTGTAAAAGAGACACGGGAAATCAACGCATGACATTCGTGGCGGGCTTGGGCAGGTGGATGACGAAGCGTGGTCGGGGGGGGGGAGTTGACAGAAACACAAAACCTGTTGAGAGCCACAAGGGATAAGGGGGAAGTGGAGGACCATGATCGAGAGACAAGGGAAAGCAATGCATGACATACCTGGCGGGCTTAGGCAAGTGGATGACAGAACGTGATCTGGGGGAGGTGGCAAAGGGACGAAACTTATTGAGAGCTACAAGGGAAAGGGTGAAGTGAAGAGCCATGATCGCCTACGTCCTAAAGGGGCGCGGTACATAAAAAAAAAGAAATGTTTCAAGAATCCCAACGGATGCCGGAAACCGCAGATCGTACCAAACCCTCAAACAAAGCGAAGAAAACTGTGAGGATTTAATGTCTTAACACTTGGATTTCCAAAATGAGTGGTACCACCTCTCTGGTACCGGTCTATCTAGTTGGACAGTAAGGAAAACGGGAGCGTTAGGGGATGTTTTTTAAAAAAGAAGTTGGTGGTAGGAGTGGCCGATTGACATTAGAAGCAAGTAATCATTTTTTTATTTTTTCGTTTTTTTACAGAATACTTATGACATAATCTAAGTCACTTTCATTTAAGGAACACGTTTGGTTTACAAAGAATTAAATTAACATGAGAATTTTTGCACGAACTCATGATTTGATGTTGTTTCCGATGTTAAGAGGTTGAACGTTTGTTTATATCTGACGTTATCTGGACAATACGTGCTACACTCCAGCCAGATCACAGGGCCGACTTATGCAGCGACTAATGCTCTAGGTTTGTAGGTGTAGCGATATAGCCACGGATGTTCATCTGGCGTTAGATTAGTCGTTTTGTACTTAATGCCCAGAAAGAAGTGACTTTATATGGTTGTTGCGAGAGAAGCTAAGGAGCCACAAAAAGATTGGGAACAACTGTCTTAGCTTGAGAATTTACGGAGAAAGAAAGTTGCGTTTTTACGGAGAAAGAAAATTGCATTTTTTTTTACGGAGAAAGTTGCGTTTTTTTGTTTTTTTTGTTTTGTTTTTTTTCGGAGAAAGAAAGTTGCGTTTTTACGGAGAAAGAAAGTTGCGTTTTTTACGGGGAAAGAAATTTGGATCTTTTACGGAGAAAGTTGCGTTTTTGCGGAGAAAGTTGCGTTTTTTACGGAGAAAGAAAGTTGCGTTTTTTTTACAGAGAAATATAGTTACGTTTGTTTTTTTACGGAGAAAGAAAGTTGCGCTTTCTCTCTGTGTCTGATAGTATTCAAATGGTAATGCTAATATTAACCATTTCCTTATAAAGAAACAGTCGGCATTCATTGATCGAGCAGACCAAAAAAATGTCGGTTGAAATTCATAAAATCTTTCTCTTCAAACAATTTTTCCGGATAATAGGTCTCTCAAGTCCAGGAGCTGTTAATCGCTTTTTCCAGTATTGATGGGAGTTTCCTCCCTAACTATTTGTTTGTAGCAGTGTGGAATGCAAACATCTTTCTATTTTCTCTTTGAGTTACACGTGCTATCCATTTTAGTTGTTGCTGCTGTTGAAGCTCATCAAATGATGTGGCTTCTGTTATTTGGTACACTTATTTGTGATTCTGTAGAAAAAATATTAAATTGCTTAGAATATTTTGTGAAATTTTAAAATTACAGGGTAGTTAATATATATATATATATATATATATATATATATATATATATATATATATATACATAAAAGGTTAATGGTCAGAGTTGAATCAGTTCAGGAAACAGTAGTATTAAAAAGTGCTCAATACACACGTGGAAAAAATAAAATAAAAGTAAAAAATAACATGTAGAGCTTTTAACTTTAAAAACAGGAAATCAGTTGAATCTGCTACCTTGGTTTCAACTTTACGGTTGATAAAAATCGCCAGAGGATACTGTAAGGTTGATACCAACGTAAGCGGATTCAACTGACCTTAAATTTTGCAATGTACACACACACACACACACACACACACACACACACACACACATATATATATATATATATATATATATATATATATATAAGTGATCACGTTATATTCAAGTAATTGCTACCTTTAGAAAAAATTCCCAAGCATAAGTTTATAGAGAGAGTTGTAAACACGCCATAGAATCACTCACATCAGCGTTAAAATGCTTTTCAGCGATACTTAAAGTTACAAGTAATATTTGTTTCAAATCAGATTAATTAAACTATTTAAATCGATTAATCTTCTGAAATACAATTTCGGCAAAGTATATTTTATTTTTGAAAGACGTTTTAATAAAGAGAATTACGTTCTGTTGACAGATTGATCAATATGTGCGATTTTAGCGTTTTTACTGATAATAAAGAGAATAATTCCAAGCAATTTTATTCAATTTGAAATCGAGTAAAGTATTTGCTTATTGAAAATATTAAATTTCATCTGTTACCTTGAGATTAAAACTAAAATAAAGAAAGATTTTTTAGCAAACATGGCCCTTCGTCCCTGCAAAAAGTGTACAACATTATAAAAACGGTTAGAATTAAAACGGTCTATATTTCTGAGATGTACACTATTTATATTATTCGGACTATTGTCCTCATCTTTGTCGCCATATTTATCACAACGTTTCGGCCGTTGTACGCTCCGGCCTTCTTCAGGTGGTTGGAATGCTGAACTGAACCCTTTATTTCGCTCAATGGGGTAGACTGTTCTAGTTCCACGTGCCATGTTTAATGGATGTCAGTTATCTCATGTTAATTCCCTTCTCCAAGTTATCTTCACCGCCTTAACCAGGTATTGAACTCACACTCTTTGGGTCCTGTCACTGGATCTAACTAACGCCTTTATCCACTGTGCCATGTGTCCTTGAATTTCTAGGTATTATAAACCTAATGCCTTCAGTCTCATTTTTTTTACCAGTGCTCATATTGCAATTTTGAAATATAAAGGGAAGAGGCTGCCCCCTTAAGGTAAGGCTTCAAGAACACCAGAAAGCTGTAACACGAGGGGAAGTGGAAAAATCAGGCGTGGCTGACCACATATGGAGAGAAAAGGGAGATCACCGGAGTCAGGATGAGATCATAAACAAAGAACATTGTTGGAAAATTAGTAAACTTCAGGAATCAGCACATATGCTACGCCACACAAATCTTCTGAGCCGACCAAGCATAGAAATAAATACAATATGGGAACCAGTAATAAGGAGTGCCAGAGAAAAGCGATAATAACGACAAAAATTGCAATATGAACTCTGGTAAAAACATGCAATGATAACAGCAAAAATTGCAATATGAGCACCCATAAAAAATGATACTGAAGACATTAGGTTTATAATACCCAGAAATTCATACACAGATGCCCTCAAGGCACTGTGGATAAAGGCGTTAGTTAGATCCAGTGACAGGACCCAAAGAGTGTGAGTTCAATACCTGTTTAAGGCGGTGGAGAAGGGATTTATCAGGAGATAACTAATAACTGAAATGTAACTAGAACAGTCTACCCCAGTGAGCGAAATAAAGGTTTCCATTCGACATTTCAACCACCTCAAGAACCTGCTGTAATAAATATGGCGACAAAGATGAGGATAATAGTCCAAATAATGTAAATAGTGTAGAATTAAAACTAATGCAATGCAATATTTATCATTTACCAATTTATAAAGAAATCTTACTTATTATAAAACGCAGATTGTTTTGTGTGTGTGTGTGTGTGTGTGTGTGTGTGTGTGTGTGTGTGTGTGTGTGTGTGTGTGTGTGTGTGTATATATTGGATCGGATTTCCTACATTTTTCAACCGATTTCAACAAAACTTCACAGGACTACGTAAAATTACCTAGCGGTGGTTCTGACAGCGCCAAAAATTGGAAAAACACAATTGTTTTTGCACGAAATCAATTTGAAAACACAACTCTGTTGCCAGAATGAAAGGGGGACAACTCATATCGAGTTATACTTATTATAAAAACCCAGGTTGTTTGTGTGTGTGTGTATTTGTTTATATATGGGATTGGATTTTCTACATTTTTCAACCGATTTCAACAAAACTTCACTTTTTTTCTGGCAGGTAGTGTTTCTTAGTGTCTTGCATACTTTATTCTTTATTTTTACATTCAGAATGCTTTAAAAATTCCATTTACAAGACAATTGTTTATAATAAAATTCTGTTCAATCGATAGACTCTTAACGATTAAAAACAATGTTTTTGTTTGAGTTTGGATTTGACCAATTCGTAAAAAAAAAGAAAAAAAAAAGCTAATTAAGACATGCGTGTCCGTCAACCTTAAACAATAATCTTTGTCAATTTTATTTTTCAGTCTTTATGATGGTCGATACTTGATCTATCTCTTACTGTTACTGTCCCCGGGCAACGCCGGGCTCTACTGCTAGTAAATATTAAAACAATTTGTATTTATAAACATTTACTAAATTATCAAAATGTATGAACTATTATTTACCATTTTATAAAGTTTGAATCAATTGGCAATTAACCGATGATTTGTCAACCATTCCAATAAATAAAATAATAGTGTAGATAATAAAATTTAATAAATACGTAGTGTTTATTATTTTTGTTTCCAATTCTCAACAACAAAGATGTATGAATTCACTTTCATGTGATTAGATTTTATTACAAATCCTCGATTTTAAAACAATAAACTTTGTCAAAGAGGACAGGTAGTTAAAATAAGATAATAGTGGTGTCAAGGGAAAAACTGCCTTTTTGACACGTTTTTTGCGGACACGAAGGTACATGTTTGTCGATTTTTCATTTTTAAAGATATATTTTAAACTTTAGATATAGCTTTTGTTTGGCGGTACATATTTATAAAAAAAATATTTGATATTTAAAAATGTAAATGCTAAGAACAGTGGATTCTTAATCTATCTGTTCTTTCACTTTATTCGTAATAAAACTCCGGAGAGAAAAAAATTATTTATTAGGCTTTCTTGAATGCTTAGGATGATAGCCTTAATGCTTACTGCTTAAAACAAAAATGGGAATAGGGCGTTTATTTCAAATACAAGTATCCACTAATAATAACCACTGAAGTAATATATATATAGGTAAATGATTTATATAATATAAATATATATATATATATATATATATATATATATATATATATATATATATATATATATATATATAAATGATTTTTTATTTATCCACTTATTTATTCAACAGTATATTTATTTATTTTCGTCTACCGGCCTCTCTCTCTGGCAGGATATTAAATAACTGGAACGCCCACTCAAATATGAATATCCAGTAAAAATAACATTAAAGTGATAAGAAGATAGATAGATAGATAGATAGATAGATAGATAGATAGATAGATAGATAGATAGATAAAGTAAACTGGTCTCAACAGATATAGAGTGAAATAATTATCGATAAGATACTAAAAAGCTTTTTGTGTCGGTAAGAGAAAGAAAAGCTGATTATTTGTATGTTTATTCCCCAGCCACACACACACACATACACACACACACACGTGTAAGGCAAAGAGACTTGAAGCTATGATAAGTTTTGTTTTGTTTTTTTCCTTGTCTCCAATTTTATCATTTTATTACTCAAGCTGAGCCTGGGTAGGGAGCTGTCCATGCTGAGTGGGATGGCAATGTATTAACCCAATGTCTTATTTCAAACTTGGGTATATGTGTGAACATTAAGTGGCACGAACACATGTCAGTCACTCACGCACAACGCAGACACAAGCAGACAGTCTGTGTATGACGGACAGAGAGTTAGTCCTTCTTTTATATAATAGAAATTATTACATATCTTTTTTTTCTCCTATATATCAGTGAATGATGGATAATTTCCTCACGAGTGAAGAGACATTAGGCAAGAGAGATAAAGTTTTCCAGAAATATTAAGCGGAGAATATCAGGGACAGAGCATATAAGTAACAAGGAAGTTTTAAGGGGAGTAGAAACGAAAAGGTCACTTAATAATATTTAAAATTAGAAAGGGAAATTTGAAATTTCTGGGACATGCAATGAGGAAAAGAGACTTGGAAAATTTGATACAACCAGAACATACTGAAGGCAAATTAGACAGAAGGACACAATGAGTAATAAAACCTAACGAACTTAATGGATGGAAGAATTAATCCAGGCAAAAAAAGAAAAGAAACAGGACAATGTTAGCACTGTTTCTGTGTCTTTCTTTAGTTTAATAAACCTTTTTTTTTAACCCTAAAGACAGCATGGATAGACGAAATCTTGGATCTCAGTGTTGCTTTGGATTTAGGGGGAAATAATTTTGACGTCTCCTGCCATGGAAATTATTGACAGTAATAATAACCGTGGTTCAAAAATCTGCGACAATGGATTTTTTTTTTCTTTGTATACCAAATTAAACATAATATGTCACTCACAAAACGAAGTTGAGTTATTTTTAGTTTTCTTTTTTTATGAGGCAGAACAGGGATTTGGAGACATAGCGAAAGACAGGCATTGCTAGTAAAGTGCTACAAAGTCCAATGTTGTGGAGAGCCATGATAATGATGAACAACAAGTTTTTAGGGGAGCTTGTAAATTAGTTAGCAAGCTCTCCTCTTAGAGATAGAAGTAGCTAGGTTCGTCTCTCGACCGGTTCACACTCCTCCCCGGTCGTTTGAACAGGAGTAGAGGTTTTTATCGCTTGTTTAGGATTGGGTTTCCGGTTCCTATCAAAGTCTACTTACACACTAACGTCTCTGACTGAACCCTGAAATGTTATTCAATTCACTAATTAAATCTTGACCTCTCTAATTCTAGAGTTGGCTGTTGTCTTTCCTACATAGCCCTAAGAACTTCACTTATTCTCTTTTCTTACGCTAAATACAACACCACACGTACACTGCCGTACACAGTAACACTCTACCTTGAGTGGCTCTTAGGATTTGTATTGGGTGAAATTAGTAAATGACTAATCAACTATGATTGAATAAAAAACAAACAGGTTTAATTTCATTTATCGGGCGCTTCTCTGTGACATTGAGGACTTTAGTAAATAAATAGATGACGTCAGTTGTTCAATGATGTTTGCCTGGCTAATCTCACAAAGACCATTGCTTAAATGGCCCTGTGCCACACAGTTAACGCTCTGCACGTCGTCTTTTTTATATTGTTTACACAGTTTTTTAGTATTTGTGTCGATTATTCGAAATAAGACAAAATTACGTGTGTTTGTTTTTTGTTTGTGTTTTTTTACTTACAGATCCCTGTTGTGTTTAAAAGAGTAAAAATGTGAATCGTTTAAAAATAAAATTCTGTTTCTTCTCATTAACAAGTTAAAGTTCAAAAATCCATTTTCCAACGTTAGTAGATCGATATAGTTTTTTTTTTCTTTTTCAAACGAGCACATAACATCTCAGCTGATTTCAACGGCAACACTGCTGCTACTAGAGAACTAGAGTAAGAAGAGTGTTGCTAGGGCCAGTAATTAAAATTAATTATCACAAACACGTCTCTTCAAACTCACACGAAAGTTTCAACTCTGCTCTTTTTGAAAACAATAAACATCAATCAGAAAATAAATCTTTTTCTCTTTACTGAGAAAAAGATATGACAAATAAAAAGATCACTGAAGTTTATAATATTGTATTATTACTCAACAAGTAGAACTCTCTAGCACAGGAAGTGGACGTGGTTGTCCATTTAACCAAGATGGACGTTGTTAGGTGAGTCCTCTCAGGACCCAACGTTATTTTATGCAATTTTCGATCCTGATAAAAAAAAAAAATCAAACGTGACATTTCTGTTTGAGTATGTGAACACTAGTATCTTTGGCATCTTCCTGTTGGCCAGGCTAAAAAGTACAAGCCTTTTTTCATTTATCGTAAATCCTTTTATTAATTAGCAGCAGCAGCACGCACTGCTACATGAACTGTGTAATTTATTTCATCCGTCTCTTCTATTAATGTTGTCTCTCTTTCCTTTCTCGTCAACTTGTGTTGTTGTCATTACTACTAGGCTCCTACTACTTGCTTGGGAACTGCTACCATCGTTTAGAATTGCCTCCTCCTCTCTTTTGTAACACACGATCTAGTGCTTTTCTTTGCCAGAAGTAGGCCTGCTGTCAGGCCTATTGGTACTCTCTTTATTTTAGGGAGTGCGTGGCATTTAGGGCGACTACAATTTTTAGTAGAATCTATTTTTATGCTGAAAACAAAAGGCCGAGCAAAGTTTTTTTTTTTTTTACTCCCTAAATATATCTTTTTCCTTTTCTATTTTTTTTTTAAAATAGATTTTTTCTATACAGAAAAAAAAAGTGTAAAACGTCCTTCTCTCGGCTTAGTACAAACAAAAAAAAAAAAATTAGAAAACGATTTTTTTTTTTTAAAACTTAGTACGCGTGTTTGTGTGTGTGTGAAATGTTTTTATACAGATATCGACCGCAACAACCATTGGATTAATTTTATTTTTTTATATTTACTATATCTTCTTCCGGACCAGGATCTATTTTATATTTGCCGTCGAAAAAGCAAGAGGATTTTTCCACCAAGTCTGTTAAGCCAGGAATTTTACATACCAAAAAAAATAAAAATAAAAAAATTAGTAAGATCGACCACCACAGCCATCATCATCCCATACACGATACTTCGATTTAAAAAGGATTTATTTACTATACAAAAGGACCTAGAGGAAGACTTCTATTATCCACTCCAGACGACGACGACTACTACTTCTCTTACAGCTGTTGTTCTTCATCATTTCCACCATGAGGGAATATAAAGTGGTTGTCCTGGGCAGCGGTGGTGTTGGCAAAAGTGCCCTTACCGTCCGATTTGTGTCTGGGAACTTTATGGAGAAATACGACCCGACCATTGAAGACTTCTATCGAAAAGAGATCGAAGTTGAATCTGCCCCCTGCGTGCTTGAAATTCTGGACACAGCCGGCACTGAACAATTTGCCTCAATGAGGGACTTGTACATAAAGAATGGCCAAGGTTTTGTCATTGTCTACAGTATTACTAGTCTGCAGACTTTTCAAGACATCAAGACTATGAGGGAACAAATAATGCGGGTGAAAGGTGTAGACAGGATCCCCATGTTGTTGGTTGGTAACAAAGTGGACTTGGCCCAAACGCAACGTGAAGTAAATACTATAGATGGAGAGCTCCTCTCTGATAACTGGGGCTGCCCTTTTTTTGAAACCTCCGCTAAAACTACCCTTAATATTGACAATGTCTTTATTGAGATTGTCAGAGAAATGAATGCCACACCTATTCGTGAACGAAGAGAGTGTTGTAGTATTCTTTGAGCAGGTGAGTAACTTACGGATTTGCAGGCAAAAAAAAAGTACACGAAAAGAAGAATCTACGATCTTTATTTTCTTTGTTTGTAGAAGTAAAAAAAAAAAGGTGCCAATTAGAAAACTTTTTTTTTTTTTTTTCGCTATGAAGTAGCATTTTTTTTTTTTTTTTGCACTTGTTTCAAAACACACTTTCTGGGCGGCTCCATTTAAAAAGCTCAAATTAAAACGAAAAGGTCATATTTCCAGCTAAGCCTTAAATTTTAAATACTTGCAAAATATATAGTTCTTGCTCGTTAGTCTTTGAACGCCTCAAAAATAGTAATTTATTAATTTTATTTAAATAAATATCCTTCCAAAGTGTGGAGTTCTGTACTCTTTGACTACTACGTAATCAGAAGTATGTTTTGCTCTTTAACAAGAAAAAAAAAAGTCCATAGTGCACAGTTTTCTTAACCCGATTATGAAGCGACCCTTCTAATTTCCTATAATTCGCTCACGTTTCATATTACAACATACTACATTCTCGATTTGGCGATCTGTGCATTTACTGAAATAAAGTTGCTACTGTTGGTTTACAAAATTGTATACTACTGGCTCTTTTTATATATCCAATGCAGGGTGTGTAGACTTTGTTGAAACAAATCTTTGCGTTTACGATCTTGAGTGTGATTTTTTTTTTCTTTTCTTGAAATGTCCGAAACCCCGGAGAGATATATTTTTACTTCACAATTTTTCTACTTAAAAATAAGTTCCGATTGAAATCCTGTTATATCACAACACATTAATAAACCCGCTTTTAAAAATCTCAGTATGAACGACGTAAATCTTGTTTGATTGTAAAATTATTTTACAATCAAACAAGATTTACGTCGTTCATACGTCGTTTTACTAAAATATGATTTTAATTTTAAAGAAATTTTTGGATTAAAACTGAGTGGTTGTTTTTATTATCATTTACAGCAGTTGATGTTTCTGATATCCCGTTTCCTCACCATTTATGTCTGTATAAAAAATTAGTAACTCTCTTCGCTTACCGTTTTTCAAGAGAAATCCACATGGCACTCTATGCACGCTGCCATATTTACCGTTCCCACAATGCTTTTGTACAGAACTAAGATATGTGTCTATGTGGAAGCAAAGTGTTACCTACTAATTTTCTTTTCAGCATCGTGCCTAAATTGCAATAGAAATAATTATTGCTAGTCTAATATGCAACATTGAACAATTTTTCTTCAATAACAGACTTTTTAAAAAATTATCTCAATTTAAAAACTAACCACGCTTTTAAAAATTAGAATGTAAAATTTAGTTTGGGTCGGGAACATTGGAATTAGTGAAGAAATTTACTCAAATTACTTTGTGAATTAACTTTGTCGTTTTCTTACGGTTAGAACGGAATTTGAACAACTTAGACAAGTTGTTTTTAATTTTTCATCTCATTTTTTTTCTGAGATTGATTTGTGTATTATTAGCCACCGATTACGAAAAAATCTGTGTTCGAATCTCGAGTACAAATGGCAATTATTATTTTGTAAATACGCAACCCACTTGAAAGACTGGCGTGAACTAAAAACATTACCATCGCCACATTTGGCTTTCTACCAGACGTAAATTTTTGCCTTGGCATAATAATAATTTAGTACATCAGTCGCGCAAACTACGGTCCTCGCTGTGATTATAATTATTACTATTCGTGTTTTGTTTTATTTTTTCTTTAGGAATAACTATTTGAATTATTTCTCTGACGATTAATCGAAGCTCTTCAAGATACCAGACTCTCCTGCTCGAAGCTCGCTTCCTTGCAGGCTTGAACCTACTCCCTCTATCGTTGAATTTTGTAAGCTGCAACAGTCCTGTGTAAATCTGTTGCATGTGTTAAATGCTGCCTTTCAATCTGATTCTCTCAACGTTTTAAATTTTCCTCACACATTTTTTTTCTTATAGACGTCGTTGTGTTGTACAGGTTGCGTGCAAAAACTTAGATTATTTTTTTTGTAATCTATTTCAGCATTTTTCTCTTTAGAGTGCTCGTTGTGAATGGGCCTAACTGCTTAAAAAAAATCTGGTATCAACGTAATTCGCTATAAATAACATCTGTAACTAAGTGTCAACTGTCTACACATGGAGCGGTGATGAAAATATGTTGATTGTGGGGGGGACTATAGTTTTTTGTTTTTTTTGCTTCCTTCCACCCTGTAGCGAAAATTATTTATTACAATATTGATCATTGGAGTGGAGAGGTCCCCCCCCCACTCTTTTTTTCTTTAATTCAATACAAACCTGGAATATTTACTTCGAAAATTAGTTTCAATTTTTTTCTTGTGTATGTCATGGCCAGATTTAACTTTGGGGAACACCCGACTTTTTTCTTCTTTAAGTTCAGATTTTTTTTTTTTTTTTTTTTTTTTACACTTTCCCCAATATAAGTGAAAAAAAATATCTCACGTTTTTTTTTTATAATTATTCGTCTGCGAAATATGAGATTGCTCACCTCTATTTTTTTTTAGTGGGAAGAAAATTATTCAAAACGTTTGTTGGGTAGAGTCCAAGTTGTATATCTAAGAGTTAAAAAGCCAGAATTCATTGTGCTCTTTTCCTTTTTAACATAAATGATGTGTAGAGGACTAGACATCCCAGAAGTGAAGTCTATTTAGAAAATTAATTCGCCAATTTTCTTCTCCAAGATACGAACACTACACTAGTGTTAGGATATGTGATAAACATTAATAATTTAACTGCAATATTTTAAAGAACATATGTATGACTGAAAATTAGACTTAAAATTTTAAATGTGTTGTAATTAAGCTGAAAGTGCACTCTCTCTCTAATCTAGTTCTTCCTCATACGATTAATAAATTGTTCCCTTCCCTCTTAGTGGTAATATAAAATTGTATAATTTCTATATCTCAAAGTTGACTTCTTAGAAATTCTTATGATGGATCAAAAAAGAAAAATTTAAGTTAATTAAAAAAGGCCCGGTTACTGCCATTGTGTAATGTAATTGGACAATATTGTATAAAAAGTGGTATTATGTCGCTTCTGGGTTTCCGTATTAAAAAAAAAATAATGACAGTGCATTCTTGACCATATTGGATGAAGTGTCAACTTTTCCTCATGATGGAGTTAACTAACACTAACAGTTAATGATTTACCTTCATCTATCTTATTATAATAATTAGGAGTTCTCTAACTCGAAAAATAATTGCCGTCTAGAAAGCGTTTGAATTTCTTAGCGTCATTATTTTGAAAAATATTGGTTTGTTATGTTTTGTTTTTTGTTTTTTTTTATCAAATAATTTTCTTGTTAAATAAAAACGGCATTATTGGATCGATAATGCTGTCTTTTATTATTAATAATAAAAAGTAATTGAGGGAGGGTGTCTCTTTCAATATTTAAGAAAAATGTTTTGTTATTCTTGGTACAAAAGCAAAATTAAAAGAAATTATATTATTATTGGTTTGAGCACTAAAAAGGTAAAGGACCTTGAAATCTTTCTATCCACTGTCTGCATCTCTGGATATTGTCATCATCCCCTCTCGTTATCCAGTATCACAATCCCTTTTTCTCCCATTAATTACCCCCCCATGTCTTTCTGTACTGTATTTCGTCCTTCTTATTTCTTCTTTCGTCTGTCCATCAATTCCTCTGATTTCTTTAGGTCTTCACGTCTTTGTGTGTGTTTGAGGGGCGAATACACATGTACGCTCACTCTTTTCTATCTCTCTCTCTATCTCTCTCAAAGTGGTGTAAAGCAAGCACCGACCGAAACGATAAAGAATATCGTCTCTTTCTTTAGAATTTGAGATTTGTTTTTATTTACCACTCTTCATATTGCTGATGCCTATTTAAATCTGGGGCGTTGTTTTCCCCCAAGAGAGAGTCTTTCATAGAAAGAAAACATGTGGCTGATTTTGTGTGGGTATTAAACATCAATTTTTAATTTTAAATACTTGCTTCGTTTATTGACGGGATATTTGCGAAGTGTTTTTAGCTCGTTTTGTGGATATTTTTTTTTTCTTTTTCAAAATATAATGAATTCAGATGAATCATCACTTTCCCGTTACAAAGAAGTAGCTCGTCTCATAGTTTTGTGTAGCGGTGGTAGTAAGTTCAATCCTACTCCTTACCGATGTGCCCCATTTCCGACCGTGTTCCACACAGTACAGTTTATTTGCAAATATAAAGGTGATAATTATTAATTAACGACTCTGTCTTTTTGCTTTGTTAATTATAAAACTGTTTAATAACTTTTTAGAATTTTTTTTCTTAATCTTTTCTAAAATGATATTTCTCAAAAGTATGAAATGTGTGTACTAATTCGCTTGAGGATGAAATGGAACTAATGCTTTTAATTTAATTGCAAAATTAAATTCGGAGCTTTTAGCTTCTATTTTTGAAACATGGTTAGAACTGTGTAGCGGAAAAACCATATTTTAAAATCAATTAATTTATAATAATATTAATGCTCTGTAAATTTACATTGAGCACTATTTTGTAAAAAAATAAAAATATCTATAAGAACACCGGATTATATATCTTACTGTTCTTTCTTTTTATTTATATACATAC